GGAGGGGGATCGCAGTGGGAGTGGTCGCGAAAAAAGACAGAGAAGGCATGATGTATGTTGTGGTGCTGCAGTGTTGCGGTAAACAGATACCCCGCTGTCTTGCTGGGAAGATCAACATTCTGACCTCTGGGATGTGACGTGGACAATAAAGCCCATAATAAAAGAACCCCCCTTTTTTGGGGGGTTTCACCACAGAAAATAATTTTTGTAAATTACGCCCCGTGAACATGATTTACATAATTTAGGAGGCAGACTTCCGATCCTGCCCATCGAGGCCAACCCGGACTTGTTCTCCCGTCGGCTGGTGCTGTTGTACTGTGATTATTACACACACTCTGGCTCGTGATCGTATAGTGGTTTACTTAACAAGACTTCATAGACTAACAACAGGACTTCACATCAGAAACAATAATACTTCACATTACGATATTACGTATGGATTTCAACCCACATTGCTAAAATAGAGTGCAGATCAATGGCCATTCAGCCTGACGTCAAATGTAGTAACACTTGGACATTTACAGGTCATACGTTCTTTACGATTTTTTTCCTCGCTAGGATTTTATACCGAACAGACAAAACCTAGCTACCAGAGACAATGGCACCAAAAACTTTAGTGCACAAACACTTGCGTTCTTGCCTATAGTGCGGTCAAAAATTCGTGGCGCAACTTATCCTCAAATACATCTTTGACGGGTGAATCAATGTCACCCATACTTTTTGCACGTCAGTTTGTATCAATTTGTCTCAACTTAATCACGTTTTCCCAGAACAACTGGGGCTCGATTAAAGTTAAAGAAAACCTTTCTTCATAAATGTAGCCTATATAAAATACTATAAATCTCCATCACACGGAAAATATGATTGTTCACAGCACTTCCCGCTTCTCGCACACATTTTGCATACGCATGGGCCTACGTCACAGCTCGCCGATGACACTTTTTAATGGCAAAACTTCTTACAAGAAATTAATTCTGCAGTGAATACATTTTTTGCCCTAAAAGTTCCCTAAACATACGTTCAATGTGCATAATATTGCGATTAGTAAAAAATGACAGGCTTGCTTTTAAAAGCGAAATATAATGCTCGAGCTGTAAACTTTTACAACTCTGTAGAAACTATCGACTGGTATTTTGTTGTTGTATTTATTATGGAATTTTCTACATACAATACAGTGTGCTGGAGTTTGAAAAAAATATTCACCTGTTAAGGCAAATTGATACAAATTAATATAACCGCTGCACCACAGACACTGGTACGGAAAAGAATAGAATAGAATGAAATAAAGGTACCTAATAACAAAAATAACGTGTGCCAAAGTAAAAAATAAACATATTCAACAATTAGATGAAACGATACAAGAACGGTAAATAAAAAAACCCGACAACAAAACGATAATATAATTTTATAAATCATAACAAACAGTACAGCAAAGAAAACTTTGCTTAAGTTGACGAATCAATAATTCCCTATGTAATCCCCCCAGAGATTTCATTTATATCATCAGTTTTTCACACTCTCAATAATTGAAAAATATTCTTTTTTGTTCCCATCCTTCCTGTTGCTCGTACACATTAAAACTTCCCAACTAATAATCTCTCCTCTTCCACTCTTCGGTAATTATCAGGAGATCTGATGAGATGCCGCCACCCGTGGCTAAATTTGCGATGTAGTGGGATAAGTATTTGCGGCAAGGTGTTAATTAGGTTCGAGATCTACTAATGGCCCATTAAATGCTACGTATATTATTATTGTTATCTTCTTGTTTGTGAGCTTCAGAGTGGGCTGTTGGAAACTGGTACCGAGAAGAAATTGGATTCTCACAGCACCACGAGATAAGAACTACTTCAGCGGTCATTGTCCTGACACAGCATTTTGTTTTTGGTTGTGTGTTGTCCTAGTCGTAATGGCGTAAACTGTCCCGTTTACCGTAATTTGACTTTGAATTGATGTTGTTGTTTTTATTCATACAAATAACGCATGACCATTATCATAACGTAAGATTACAAGGATAATTGCAATGGTGATAATGATGATAAAAATAACACCAGTAACACACTGCTAATGATAATAATAATGATGATAACAGTAATAAAAAGCGATAATTTCTAATGCGCTGCTTAAGGTACGCATATTTACTGTCCTGATTTTTAAAAATATACTCTGGGTGGGCGTCACGGACAGGTTCGACCTTGAAGCTAACTTCGCAATTTATACGTTCATACATTACTGTCAGCAAATACTTTTCTTCCCATTTATTCCAAGTAAACGTTAAAAACCGCATACATGGAAAGCAATTTTAAACGTTTGAATACGTTATCATACATCAATATTTTTTTAGAGTGTTTTATCTGGTTTTGCAATTATATGTCAAAAAGCACATTGTATACCCACCCAATTGTATATTCTGAAAGCCGTCCAATGGGACGGCGTCTCCTTTCGGAAGCCGTCTTAACCTTATCCAAACAAACACTTCCTTCTTCCTTCTCCTACTGCATGTCAAGTGCTCTGGCCTACAGACGCTTCGCAGTTTGTGATTCAGTTTCGTTTTGACAAGACGCGCATCCGTGATGCAAAGGTCTCTTAATTGTTTTATTTATAAAATAGAGCACTCCCGCGCACTCAGAGTCATTAAGTGCTTTTCCTTGATTGATGATTGGTTTGTGTTTTTCATTCATCTCTCGTCGTCTTCTTTGTTTCCGTTTGTGGGCTCCTTTTTGAGCCATTTCCTGGAGTGTTAAGTGATAAAGTGCTCTGCTGAATTGATGGACATACCTACACCGAGAACATCTGCAGCAATACAGTAACAGCAACAGCAACAATAATACGACAACAACAACAAAAACAACAACAAACAAAAACAACACCAAAAACAACAACAACAACCACAGCTGCTTCTACGACTATTGGTGCTACTACTACTACTACTACTACTACTACTACTACTACTACTACTACTACTACTGCAACTGCTACTGCTACTACTACTGCTACTGCTAAACTTTCCTTTTGCAACGTAGTTTGTATTATTATTTTTTTTTGCCATTGTTGATGATGATCTGCGATGTCACAACACGATCTTTGTGGTCAAAAAGTCATAGGTTACTGTTATAGCAACAGGCAGTTTGGGTTGTCGGGTTTTCATTTAGATGAATGTTTATACAGGTATGGATTTGGTCTACTTTTTGTGCCCTCAGAGTTCACAATGACTAATTTCTTAGGCGTCTTTATATTTCGATTTCAGAGACTTTAAATTCTTATGGGATTTGGCATTTAAGAAAAAAGTGCGTTCGCATTCTGCTTTCTAGCATCGATGAAGTGTATTACTTATTGTCCGACTATTTTGCAGGAATGTTTTTTGATACACAGGATATGTATTGTTAACCGTTTGGAGCCAAATTTGAATTGTGATATTTACTTTTGCACGTAAATGGAATAAAATCACTATTGTGAGGCGTGCTGACAAAATGAGTTACTTCTCGGATTCGACCCTTATGGAAGTACATGTATGTAGATACATCATGCTAATAGGTGAAGCTTTTGCAATGCATAAGTATGAAATAATAAAAGGCGTGTTATGCCTAATGAATATGGCACGAATTTTTAAAAAAATCTACAAATGTAATCTTAGTGTCGATTTTTTTTTTTACAGTATATCTTATTTGTGGATTGCGAGAAGTAACTCATTTTGTCGGGAATCGCTATACCTGCAAGAATTTTAGATAGGAGTGGCTTTGGTCTGGTTGGTTACAGAATAGCTTGCAGAATTTTGGGAAATATTTAACACCTATTCTTTTTAAAAGTCCTTAAGCGTCAGTTTTGTGGGTGGTTGGAAGAAACAATAGGAATGTCTTATTTCTCATTTTACCTTTCTGTTGTTTCGTGTTTCTATGCCTTGCTTTTTCTTCGCACTAAATGGCCGTATTGGGTCGATTAGGATCTTTTTACTCAAACTCAAAACCATCAGGGGGTTTTTTCCCCTTTTTTGGGGGGGGGTGGTAACCATGCCTTATTGAAAGTACTCACGTTGTACATACCCGAGGCTCTTGCTCCCTGTAAGCCTGCTGTTCATTACTGTTCAACATCGACGATGGAAGGGTTTTATTTTCGGACGACAGGTACATTTTTAAAGCTCTCCTTTTCCCACGTTCGTTTCTTCCAGCACGTAATTATTGCCCATGATAGTCATACGTGTAAAGACTCTTTAAAACGGATAACAGAATGGTATTTCGTGCATTTACCCTATTACGCGCTACGTTGTAGTAACGGGCTACACTCACTTAATGCTCACTTGTTACAAAGTTAGTTATTGACCTTTTGGAATAGACGTCTAGGAAAAAAATAGTTTGCTCGTAATTACCTCCGACAGCGGAGCAGTTTTCCTGGTTGTTTACGTGTCCACACTGACAATTGTAACAGTTTGGTTTCGTGTTGCAGCATGCGATAAGGCGTATTACGTACATCGTTGACTGGTGTTTGTGCTGTAGCGGTTTGGCGCTGTGATGTCTGTTGCGATCAGGAGACTGGAGTTAGATTCTTGCATGGGGGACAATTTTTATCAAGTGTTTCGTTCTTTTGGTTGGGACGCTGTATCCCTTTCAGCCCGGGTTGGCCCTCACAGGTAGAGTCGAATCCTGCCTTCTGAATTATCTAAATTGTGTCCAATGGGGAGTAAAACCACCTACATCTTTTTAAAAAAATTTAATAAAGAACCATCGTTGCGGTGGAATGACGAGATCGGCTATCTGGGTTGAGGGGAATTTTGGAGGAAAAGGAAAGCAAGTTTTTTTTCAGGACGAGGCAGAGGCTTCTTTTCGCTGAACCTAAGATTTGTGTGTGTATGTTTTTGTTGATTTTGGTAAATATTGGGTCGTTGTTGTTGCTTTTTGTGCAAGTATTTAGATCATATTGGAGGCGGGTTTCAATCCTGCCTGACAGGGCCAACCTGGGCTGAGAGGGATACACCGCCCCTTCAGAAAGACCGAGGTAGTTGAAACGAATTTTCCCCGCACGAGACTTGAACTGGAGTCTTCTGCCTGCCGGTTCAGGTTATAAAGTTTTGAAAGTGATTTTTATGGGGTGTCCTCATTTTTATTCGAGAGACCTCAGATAATTTACCAAATGTGAGTGGGGGATTTTGGGACTGATAGGAACGGCCAACTGCCACGGTGCTGGTTAGCCAAGCCTATAATTCCCACTGCCTCTGAGAGTGAATGACCGTGGGAAATATAAAGTCGGTCAACTCTCAAAGGGTTTTTGACACTGTTTTGACTACAACACGCTGTTGCACAGACAACGATGAAGAAGAGTCTTTAATGGGGTGTCAGTAGTTAATTTTTCAAGGTACCATAACAAAAGGATAAAGATCAGTCAGCGGTTGGATTTACTCAGTGGAGCATCTCTTTGTTTATTTCCAGTTCATCTCCATGCACATAGATTCAGTCATTTCAGGATTTCTGAATTTGATGGAAGATCCTCTTCTCTACTGAGAAAGTGTGTTTTCCTTTTAAAATCCAACAGCAAATACCGTCAGCTATAGCTTTCGTGAGTGGTTGGCGGGTGTTAGTATGTGGTAAACACCCATCATCCTTGCCTCTCCTCCTTTTTCTGTTTGTTGGTTACTCTTTTGTAAAACCTCCAAACTTCGGCACTTATTTAACCCAATTGTTTTGCAAGTGACATAAAAGCAGTATCAAACAAACGAAACAAAACGCCATAAGACAAAAGCTATAGCCCACAGACAGCGTCTGCGGCCGTCATATTTTGAGTTCAAGTATTTTAAACTGTTTCGACATCCTGTGTTTTGAATACATGTATGACATTGGGTCTCTAAAGTAAACGTTGATCTTTCCAAGAGGTAGACATTCCGCACTTGAACACAAAAAAAAACAATGTTACACAAACACTTGATACTAACCATGGCTCTCTTTGGCTGTTTTGTACCTACCCACCTGAATAACAACGCATTTTTTTCTTTCTTTCAGCGAACAAAATGTAATATTTGTAAAATGAAAAAAACAAACAGAAATGTAATTGTAGCACCATCCTCTGTATTCTGCTGTTGGCTTGTATCCCCCATTAGCATTGTTAAAAAATAATGACAAATTTTTTGATTTACTTGGGCCCTCAGATCTGTTCCAGAACACTATTCACCACCAGACTGAGCCGCAGATGTCTGGAACATTGCATGCTTCTTGAATGACTACACCCTTCTGTCGACACGAACTGCCTCATACGATCTGACGTTTGTGGTCTTCTTTCTTAACCCCATACGAGAAGGAAGCACCACCAGTTGAGCTGACTTTGCCTTTTCTCAACTTGGCTATCAGTCAAAAAGTAGATAACTGAAGTGGTGATATCATTTTGTCAACTGCACTGATATAAACTGTTAATTACATTAAAGTGACGCCATTTTTATTCTCTTGGCTACGTTGAGTAACTGTTGTTGATGAGTCACTTCGTTGGTACTGTCAGTCTTTTCCTGGTCTGATCCTGATTGAACTGGGAGCTACTAGAAGTCGAGAGAAAACTAGAGGTCAGACGGTACCCAAAAAATTCCTCGAACCCGTGGAATTACCGCTTGAAGTGAACGCAAGATGGAGGAAAGTTTAGTCCCTTTAATGGAAAATGACACAAAGTCAAGTGGCACGAATGGCGACAGAGTTCGAATCGGAGTCGTTGGCACCGGCAACTTCGCCGTGGCCTTCACCAAATGCCTGGTCATGGCGGGTTATAACGTCATAATGGGCAGTCGCCGTCCCGGTCTACGAAAATCGACGTTGCCAATGACCGAGGAATGCCTTTGCGGAGTGGAGCTGACCACTATTTCCGAATGTTTCACAAATTCAGACGTCATCTTCATCGCTATTCATATGGAGGATTTTCAGGACACTCTTGGAAAATACCAAGAGCTAACGCGCGGAAAGATTCTCGTAGACGTTTCCAACCGGGAGTACCGATACGCAGCGCACTCGAACGCCGAATACCTGACGTCCATTCTGCCGCACGCCATCGTTGTCAAAGCTTTCAACTCTGTACCAACCCAGGCCTTGGAACAGCTCTCGGGCATGGGTAGAGAGGGACTCAAAGTACTGGTTGCCAGTGACAGTCAAAGCGGCCGGACAGCCGTGTCTGAAATCGCCAAGTCCCTTGGGTTTCTTGTCATCGATCTGGGAGGCCTGAAGTCGGCGCGGTATATGGAGGAACAGGTGCTGAAAACTTTCACCTTGTGGAGAATTCCGCTCTTCCTCACGTTCGGAATCTTCAATCTATGGTCGTTGTTCATTGTTTACCTGTACTTTATCGAGAAGACGGCGTACAACTGGGAACAGATTTTCCTGAAGGTGTTGAACAAACCGTTGTGCATGACGGCCATCACCGTCCTGGCCCTGACGTATTTACCTGGTAAGATCAAAGTGTTTGAGGTGCAGACGTTTTTTTGTTGACTCTAGAGAAAGTGCGTCAGACCAGGCTTCCTTTAATCCCTTTTGTTTCTCTGGATTAACATTTTCCAAAAGTTCGTGTTAGAAAAGAAGACAGCAAACATGCTGTAGTCTTGGCTTTGGAAATATTTTCATCTTTTTAAAAATAACCGAACAATGTTAATGTTTGACGTTCGTACTGATTTTATAGTAAAAGGGATGTTTTACAAAATTGGACTTTTTAAAGGACAAGCAATTTTTAAAAATATATAAGAGATGGTATTGTAAAACAGTTTTGCATAATGAAATGTGTATCATAATATTATAGGATTCGTAACTAGATGGACAAAACCTAGCCTTCATTGGTCTTTTTTCCCCTTTCTATGAAAAAACATTTGGAATAATATTAAATTTTCGCAGATAATTTTCAAGACATGCCTGTTCTAATGCGGTCACAGTAGACGCTTCGATAAAAGTCTGATAGAAAACAGTGGCGTCGCGTGGGTTGCAGACAAGGTGGTGCACAATCTATCGATATTTACACCTGTTTCTAGATGAAACCTCATAAAAGCTGTAATAAAGTGAAACAATACTAACAACGCACTATGCTTACAATCCGAGAAGATTAAAAGATTTCTAATTACTTCGTGCAGCACCAGGACTTGCTACACGATAGAGGGAGACAACTGTTTCGATACCCATTCTTCATTGAGTTACCATAGACTCTACCAGTGTAGTAGATAGGCTAGTGGAAACTTGGATCAAATTTTTAGCTTGCTCCAAACTGGTGCTGCGAAGAGCAGTTTCATTCACCTTTCTTCCTGTGCTGGAAGAACGAAGCCTAGATTTCTCTACAGTGACGAAAATAACTTTGATGCACAGATTTTGTTTGCTCCCAGCGGACACTCCCGCAAGCGGTGCGACGAGCATAAACCATCCTCGCCGTATGTCTCTTCACTGGCGCAGCCAGCGGGTGACGGATCGCAAGGATGTAGTAATGTAGATCTAGAGCACTGACTGGTTTAGAACAATAATTAGAAAAGGGGAGGGGGGGGGTTGAAGGCCAGGGTTAGATGGAGCGCTTGCACCAATTGCACAATGGCGCCCCGCCACTGATCGAAAAGCATTTGGAATGATGAAAAAGTAAAGATATAAGCTTGAAAAGAAATATACGAGTAAAAGTAACGGTTTCTGTATCATTTGTTCAATCGTATGACTCGTCCATATCTTTTATGTTTTCAAAGCTTGCGGTTAGTGGTATTGTCTAATTTCTTTTTCTTTTTTGCCTTTTTACTACTGTTGACCTATGGAGCCTACCTGACTTGATAGTGTTCAAACAAATATTTTGGCTAACGAGAATCCATATATTTCGTATTTATTTTGTTCTTACAGAAGTATGGCCGTTTTTGCTCTAAGTCACTGTCAACTAAAACTTTACTTTTTATTTCCCCACGTATTCAGGTCAGCTTGCTGCAGTTCTCCAAGTGATCAATGGCACCAAGCACAAACGCTTCCCGCGCGTTCTTGACACTTGGCTGAAAAGCCGGAAGCAGTTGGGCATCATCAGCTATGCCCTCGTGTGCGTCCACGTCATCGCCTCTGTCCTGATGCTTTCCCCTACCTACTACAGCTCGTGGTTCCACCACGCCACCGTCACGCTGCCTGCTAACGTGAGCCACGCAACGTTGGACGCGGAAGTGGTGCTTCCCGTGACGAGGACGTGGATGACGTGGAAAGGTGAGGCGGCGTGCTTGGTGGGGATCGCAGCATTCCTGCTCATGTCTGCCGTGGCGCTGACGTCAATACCGTCCGTGGGCGAGTCGCTCAACTGGTCAGAGTGGACGTGCGTGCACTCCAAGCTCAGCTACTTTGTCCTCTTCCTCTCTGTCGCTCACGTCTGCGTGATGGGAGGCCCAGGCTGGGCCAAAGCAGGGCCTTACAAAATCTGGAAATCCATCACTTTTCTCAGTTCCCTTCTGCCCATGTTCGTCTTGGTCCTGAAAATACTCTTCAGCCTCCCACCTTTGAGTGGGTATCTCCGAAAAATTCGCCGAGGATGGGAAAGAGACTCCCGGAAAGCCCAAAGCTCCCCGTGTTCGAGGAACCATGACGTCACCGTTGTGGACATCGAGGACGAAAGTCAGAAGGAAGGGAGCAGATTGAGCAAATTGTGTGGCTGCGCTCATGGTAAAGGCTCTCACAACTACAAGGGTGTGAAAGGTGTGTCATTTGCAAACACAAACTGCCACTGCGCCTCTGAAAGATTGCAGACGAAAACAAGCATGTTTTAGACAGGATTTTATGGATTTACTTTTTTGGGTGGGTTGATTTTTACTTTTTGCTTTTTATTTTATTTTGTTTTATTTTTTATTTGTTTGTTTGTTGTTGTTGTTTTTTATTCTATTTTTGTTTGTGTGTTGGGCGGTTTTTGGGGTTTTTTTTGTTGTTGTTGTTTTTTGGGGGGGCAGGTGTAGATGTCAAACAATCACTTCTTACATCGCAGATGTTGCTATTTATGAGTATTACAACTCTTCTCCACAGCAAAAGTGTCATGTTTACGTTTAGCCTATCGGATTCACTTTTTTATCACCTTGCGTGACACAAACACACTTGTTGTTTAAAAACATTGGATGATCATTTTTCTTTGAAATCTTTGTTCATATTTTTCAGCGTCATCCATAACGTAACTTATTTTGTATTGTTTAAATGTTCAAAAGTCAAAATTTATACGAGGGCTGTCCCACGGAAAACCGGAAAAGGTCCACAAAAGCAACAATATTTGTCCGATTATAATAAAAATGTAACACATCATACCTCAACATGTGCTTTATTTCTCAATCTAATCACCATCCCGCTGGACGCATTTTTTCCATCGCTGGATGTGGGAGAAGATACAGTCCCTGAAGAATTTTTCGTCAAGGGATTTCAACCAATCTTTCATGGCTTCCACGAGGTCTTCGTCGTCGGTGAATCGCTGTCGAGAAATATGGTGTTTTATTGGTCCAAAAAGGTGATAATCTGACGGGGCCAAGTCAGGACTGTGAGGTGGGTGTGGCAGAATTTCCCAGCCGAACCTTTGGATCCAGTCTTTCGTAGCGTTTGCGGTGTGTGGCGTTGCGTTGTCATGCTGCAAAATGTCTGAGACATTTCAACACGACGCGTCTTGTGGTCAGCTGTCAGCTCTTTTGGGACCCATCGAGCAGAGACCTTTCGATAGTGTAGCTCATCAAACACTATCCTATGGACAGTTGACTTTGAAATGTTTAGCGACTCGGAAATTTCGCGAATTTTTAGGCGCCTGTCTGTTTGAATTAGTTCGTTAACGCGACTCTTGTTGTCCTCAGTCTTGGCAGAAGAACAAGGTCCTGGGTGAACTTTGTCATTGATATCCGTATGCCCGGCTTTGAACTTACTACTCCACTCATATACCAGTGTCTTTGCCATTACTTTCTCCCCGTAAACTGACTTTATTTCAGCGTGTATTTCTATAGGTTTGAGACCTTTTGCGGTCAGAAACCGAATGACAGATCTCACTTCTATCCTTGACCAATTTTCCAAGTGGGTAGCCATCTTTGGAGAACTGCTGTGTTCGTTTGATTTGTGCGATGCTCATGGTGTTCAATCGGGAAATTCTAATATGATTGTTTTACAAGTGTGCATTTACAGAATGTGAAAATATTGAATAGTTTTCAAATTACAGCCAAATTCCGGTTTTCCGTGGGACAGCCCTCGTAGTATGATTATGAATATCATGAACATGTATTGATCACATAACTGTATAAAACTTTGTTCTTGGTTTTTTTAGCGCCTTGCATGACACAGCTTATTTATTTTACAGAGTAATTTGCCAAATGTTATTTACAATGAAAATGTATACACCTATTTACAACATTTGTTCTCTGTCTCCAATTCAAGTGTATTGTATATACCATTGCTGTTACCTTATTTGATGTAACGTGAAACGTAGCGATGGTGTTTGTTATTGGTGGAGCAATTGGCCTTACTTAACTTACAGCTTTAAGAGTGTTAACTGCCTTTTAAAAAAACAGTCTGAGCTTGCGTCCAACATCGTTTAGGTCAGGACACAAGACTAACCGGAAAGGTCACTGATGGTGAGCCAGTAGTCGTCTACCTGTGACGTCACATCTCGCCGCCTCCCCGTAACCAGTATAGCAAATGTTTGCCTTTGCCACGAATATATAAATAATAATATCCTGTTCAATTGCTATGTAAGTGACCCAGAATCGAGTTCCTGGAATTAAATTCTTGAGCTTTTGACTTTGTTGACATAGTCTTTTTGACTCTTCTCGTACTTGGCTCAATCCAACCGGCAACAGTGTTGAGATCGAACTTCCTGGTTGTTGAAAAAAGAAAACCAATTTGTGTTCAAATAAGCATTAAGCCATACAAAATATTCATCATTACACATTCATACCGAAACATAATTAAATGTAATGCTGCATTGTCTGTCGCTCGTTCTTGGCCTCGGTAACAATGTCAAAGACTTGTGAGGTCTAAATGTACTTCGCTGGGAACACAACCAGTCCTGTTATTACATGTTTAATACTGACGATGTCCGACTCCAAACGTTTATCCGCCAACTTAGATTAAAATCTTTTTTTCTTTAATTTATAATGTTCACAGTCTCAATAACAACGTGTGATGCAATAAGATGTAAAATGTTATAAGAACACTAAACACAGAATGTTCAACCATTCTGGAAGATAATAAGAAAAAATGACAGGGTGGGGGTAGGGGTTCGCTTTCCTTAAAATCAGCGTGCATGCATATAATACACAAGCATAGTTGTATATTGAGGGTATGTAAATAGATGTACTGAATAAAAATGTACCCCCCCCCACCCCCCTTTTAAAACCATTGTACACGCTCATACACGGTTTGAGTTGAACATTGAAGGTATATAGATGAATGTACTAAATGTAAATGCTATATGCCCCACCCCCGGTCCCTCCCACGCATCTCCCGATAATAATTCAAATCATTTAGGAAAGTGGCTGCTTCTATCGTGTCTGGTAGGGCAAGCCGGACCTACGAAGATACTCCATGAAATACCTTCCTCTCTTGTGAATCAAATGCTCGCTCGTCTTTGGAGGAGAGCCGTCCCGTTACAAAGCTTAAGTTACTGCTTAGAGCTTCTGCCTACTGATCCCATAATCCACGAGGATCGTAGGAGTGCTGTATGACAGAGACACTCGTCAGGTACCTCCTTTTCTCATGGGTTTTTTTTTTTTTGCGGGTGTCTGAGTTTAGGCGAAGGATTTCCCTGTCCATTCCGCAATGTTGTTGTCGCTCCACCTCTTTCTTTGCCTCCTCTCTTTCTCCTCTCCTGCACAGTTCCCTGAATAATGGTCTTGGATGGGCCGCACGATTTTTACGGTGGGTCAAGACTGTGTTAACACTAGAGTATTGGAGAAATTATTTATTCAGAATTTGCTAAACCGTCACCAGCATGACCAATACACACAAAAACCAGCGATGAACAGTACAATCCAGATCCTTGAGTTTTATTTCACGAGGAATACTTGATGATATAACAACTTGTATTCTGTCCTTGAGTTCATCCCATGCTAGTGTTAAGATTATTTTGACTCACTCTGCGTGTATCAAATGTAGATCTAAGTGTTTTATACGTTCCCTTTGACACGATGTAGTAGATCACTTTAAGAGGCGAGCCGACTCTGCTTGTCATGACTAACCCGTGCTGAGAAGGATACACCATCCCAGCAGAAAGACCGAGCTCCTCGAAAAACGAAAAGAAATTCTCCTAACGCGGAGTTCGAAATCGAGTCTCCTGCGTGCGACAGACAGCGAACCATATAATAATATATATTTTTTATATGCCAATCCACAGTCGCTGGTAAAACGGCTACGATATTATAAATGCCGACTGGCAAATTTCTTCAGACACATAATGCGGAAAGAAGCATTGGAGAATATTGTAACTACAGGCAAGTTTGATGGAAAGAGAGACAGAGGGAAAATATACTGGAGATGATGACAACATGGCTAGGAACAGCAAGAACAACAGACACCATTGCTGCAACGCAAGACAGAGTGAAGTGGAGGTCCATGATCGCCCACGCCAGTCGGCAAGGCACCGGATGATGATGATGATGAATGTCTTTGTTGAAGCAGCTGTCCGAGCGATGGATGTGACAACAACTCGGTGGCAATCGGTTTGACAAAAACACGTCCTCGAAAACGTGCGAGTTTGGCGTGCAGTATGTAGAGTGATGATACTGAATCTTGTTTACCTTTTATCGCAAAGACTCACGACGTAGAAGGGGGCGCCGTTAGCTCAGCTGGTATCAAAGTGGGCTATGGCGCGGATGGCTCTCCGCCCAATTGGCTCGGTCCAATCGGAGAGGGACGTTCAGTTTAAAAGTACCAGTTCGTTAAAAAAAACAAACTTATAAAGTGTTGAAAAGGGTGTAAAAACATACGAATATCAAAGTTGCTGATTTCATTTGTGTGTGTGTCTGTGTGTGTGTGTTTGTTTGTTTGTGTGAGTCTTTGTGTTGTGTGTGTGTGTGTGTATGTGTGTGAGTCTCTGTGTGCGTGTGTGTGTGTGCGTGTATATATACATATGTATATAATATATATATTTGTGTGTGTGTGTGTGTGTGTGTGTGTGTGTGTGTGTGTGTGTGTGTGTGTGTGTGTGATACTATTCAATAGTCTTTATATTTTTAAAATATGCACACCAATAATGTTTGTTATAAGATTCTGTGTAGTATTGTGCCTGCTAAATTCAGAATTCCTTCATCTCATGACGCTTTCAAATAAACTATTGTTTGGATTAGATTTTACGCTTGCTGGTTGCTAGCATTTTATTTTGGTTCGAGTCTTCTTTTTATTTTCTTGGGTGTAGTTGTTACTTATGTGTGTGTGTGTGTGTGTGGCGGGGGAGGGGGGGGGGCGCACGGTGTTATTTGGCAACATATGTGTAACTTTGACTTTGAGTTACTACTATGGGTGCCGCTTTCAACGAGGTCACATTCAACGAGAAGTCGGTTCCAACGAGGCAATCCTTAATCCCCCTATTTTCCCCTTTATATCTCTTTGTAATGTACGTCGGCTCCAACGAGGCTGCAAACAGACCGAAGTCGCTTTCAACGAGGTCGCGATAACCAAATAGGAGCAATTAGCGGCCCCAAAAGCGAACAGTTTTTCTCCTTTCTCTCCCTCTCACGCCAAGCACGAGGCCCATCACCGATTCCTAACACATTGTACTGCTAGAACTAGCCTGCCTCCTAATTTTGGCCCCAAAGCCAAGAGGATAGGCGAGGGTTAGCCTACGGTAGGGATGAGAGGGGGTGGGTATGAACGTGATGCGGGCT